ATTTTAAACGGGTCTGGAGATTGAGCTAAACCTAAATGAACAGATTATCGAATGTTCACGAATGTAAATGAAAAAACGAGCCCTTTGTTTGTGTTCGTTCATTTAATTAAATAAACATAGAATATTGTTCATGTTTGTTTGTTTCATAAATAAATGAACATAAATGAACTTCATGTTGAATGGTTCACGAACGGTTCATTGACCGTTCGGTTTGTTTACAAGCCTATGTAGAACAAAAGGATCTCCAGCTATCATGGGATCATCTGTAGAGATAGAAGGTCGAGTCGCTCACCCACTACCACGTCCTGGCCTACGACCTTGACTAGCTCTCATCGGAAAGATCTATAAGGTTCTACATAAAGAATTTAAACCTAAGTTAGACTGACATCAAAAGTCTCAAATTTATTTAAACTTGTAAAATAAGGTGACACGTTTTGATAAAACAATTTCCTCTTTCCCGATTTATTTCACAATATTAAAAATATCTTCAGAAAATTTAATATAGTATTTAGGACTCATCCACATTCCGAATGTTTAAAAACTTGACTCCAATACTACTAAATGTAACCTCATATACCCGACCTAAACGTTACGACTAAATCTAGAAGGCCAAATATCATATTCCAAAAAATCTTTCATATTTAAAAACATTGTTAAAATCAATACATGTAAATAAAAATACATATAATAGTATTTTATAAAATATCTAATGAGTAAAGTTCATACATTAAGCATGTAAATGTTCTAACATCAGATATCGTGTATAAACATACTCGGAAGAAAATACCATAAATATAGATTTACAAAGACAACAATAAAAAAAATGTGTCGCCAAAATATAATAAAAGGAGTATATAGAGATATATATAGTGGGTACAAAAAAGAGAAACGATCGATCCTTCTGATGTCAAATCTGCTAGCCTATTGTTTGGTAATATTTAAAAATGTTAAAAACTAAAGAGTGAGCTAAAAATCCTAGCGTGCTCCTTACAGAAATAAAACATACATATATAAAATATTTTGGTAAAATTATTTAGAAAACACGCTTTAAAGAAAACATGGCCACTACCACTATCCGAACACCAAAATGTGTTGGTTCCTCTGAATCATACACCTACCTTAACACCCGGTAAGGACTTTATACTTATAGCATAAGGACTTTCTTTGTGCACAAAGTAGAGGAGCCTATGGTAAAGGCTTACAAGTCATAGACTAAGCGTGAGATACTTCCTCCAGCAATACCTCTTTCATGACAATAAATATGCATGTATTTAATTTAAAACAATAGATTAATATTTAAAACATTAAAACATCCCACGATTTAAATTCATATTTAGAAAATATGGTAACCATAGATCATGACAAAAATATATTGTAAATCATAAATACAAACAACGGTACACGATAATCAAAAATCTTGCCATTAAAATATACAATGCCATCAAAAGTCTAGATTAGTTCAGACTAATAAATAAAAAACAATAATGTAACACCATCATGAACACACATGTATCAGTCTGAGAAGTCTGATATGGTAGCCTACTACTGGGTCTGCCTATCACGATTTACAACAGTGCTAGATCCTACAAATTAGAAAAGATTATATCACTAACCTAATAAGATAAATTATAAACTTTATTTTAAATGATTTACGAAAACATACGAGTAACTCTCTAAGTACGTGAATCATGTGGATATATTGGACAAGAAGCGTCAAACCTAATTAACCCTCGATAGGGGGAAACACAAGTACCTTCATGAAAATACATTCCCAAATTAATTTCGTATTCAAAACTCAATAAACATGTAAAAATACTAAAAATATGAATTCATTTTTTGTTTAATATGCTTATTTTAGGGCTTTTGGTTTAAATTTTGGCAAAATAGACCAAAAAATCAGACTCGGGACATTGAAAACTATCAAGAGAGAGGTTTTTCAAAAAGTCAATGCTAGCTAACAATCAAAGGCGGTAAACAATAGTCAATCGCGGTCAATGATCAATGGTGGTCAATGACTAGGCTAAGATCGGCTCAGTTTAACTCGGTTAGACTAATTTAGCTTGGATCAGTTATACGAGTTCGGTTTGGTTAGACTAGTTAGAGTTAGGCTGATTGGATTTGGGTTGGACTAGGTTAGGGTATAGACAAGGGTCGAGTTAGAATATGGGTTGGGTTGAACCAATTCTAACCATACCCCTAGACGGTAGAGAAGCCTCACACGTAGGGGCGACATGCGGGGGTGCGTGCGACGGTTTATGATTCTGACAAATTTGAAAAAAAATTAAAATGCATAAAATGGGGTTGAGTCGCTTACCATACTTGATTTAAAATGGTGAACACCGAAGTTATTGATTTCATAATGTCATAAACTTATTCCTCCTCACCCCTTCACACGTCAGGGACAATGACAGAAATACAAACAACAGTTGCTCAAAATTTCACCAGGAACACGATGGTATGGGCGGTGAGATGAATATAGCTCTAGACAGCAAGAGAATGGTGATGAAAGTTTCTTAGAGGAAAAAGGAAAGAGAAAAATCTAAAAGTGGAGAGAGAGAGAGAGAGCTATAGGTTTCTATTTTGGGAAGCCTCGAGAAAGATGGGAGGGATTTTAAACTCCTCTCACTTAAGAAATGATAAAATCACACCCTAAGTCCTTGAATACTTTATGCTTTAAGAATTTTGTTTAAATTTAAATTAAAAAATCAATCTAATCCCTGAAATTAAATAAAAAAATATTATCCCCTAAATTAGAGAGTGATACTTTAGACAACATGGAACTCTTTTATGTTAGTGTTGCTCTCGCAGTTATTAAAGCTGACAATGATGTCACTGATCTCTCAATGCAGTAAACTGAGAAGCATACATCTTTATATTACTACCTCAATAATGCTCCAGCAACATCAAACACATCGATAAAAACAAAGTAAATCAAATACTTTTTTTTCATCAAACAAGTTATAAACATAACACCCAAGGTTTAACATCTCAAATATAAAATAGAGTTTATCAACCAAAACAAAGTAAAAATTTCCCTCTCGGGCTTGATTCCGATTCGCCAAGTTGACACTTGATCAACGAAAGACCACCTCTCTCAAGTTTGATCCACTTTCATGTCATTATGTTATATTCCCAATGTGCTCTAGCTGTCATGGTTGCGGCGGTAGAAGAAAAATAAAAATAATTGTAGGAGAATTAATGGAGGATGAAACGAGGTTGAAGAAGAGCATAAAAAGTGTGAGTAAATGCCCTTTTTATGAGCCTAAACGGTTAAGGCATCCTCTAATGATATAATTTCTATTTTTTCTTTAATTTTCAACCATTTTACAACTGGAATTGAAAATTTTTCTCATTCTATAAATTCTTTTAACCGCTTGATGAGTCATCAGTTAATAAAAATGGTTTAGAAATTTTGCCTCGCATCTTCTCATAGCAACACTTGTAGAATCAAATAATGTCACAGCATCATAGTAGCAAATTCATAATAAAAATTATCATAATTAGCCCAAGAAATACCAACTTGTTCCCAATATGTCAATCATGCAAAATATGCTAAAAATAATATAAATATGTTCTTAAAAATACTGAAGTGCAAGTTTATCCTAAGTAAAAATGTTTTAAATAATACTCTTTTAGAGAGTTATCAATACCTTTCACTAGCATTTTGGTCAATTAATGATTTAATAACTTTTTAGTCTTATAACCTTAAGAGGCCATTATCTGGCCTGTCTGTATATTTTAAAGGGAAAATTATGCTATCTCTAATTTCTGTATCGATACTAGGTATGGGTATCAATGCTCAATTCTATAGTATCGATACTTCTGATCAGTATCAGTACCAAATTAGTACAATAAGATATATAATTTAATTTTATTATTGATTCTTGAAACTCATTATTGATATTAAAGGGTCATTATTGATACTCTTTAAATGAGTTGGTACTCTATGAATGTTTTGCTCAATTTTCAATTATAATTTTATACAATATTAACACCTCAAGAACAATAGTGATACTCAAACCAAAAAATGACACCAATAAGTAAATCATCACAGTTGTACCCATATAAATGACCATGATAAATTTTGAGTATAATGTAGGGGTCCGAGGTAGTTATACCAATATACATAAATAAGGAGATGGGAGTTGTTTCTGTTTGGCAAAAAGATATGTTTCGATCGATCTAATACGTTGATTCATTGGTCTAATCCATAAATTTAGATATCTGGTATCTGAAAAAAGGAATACTCAAATCGGATACGAATTAGATAAATTTCAAGTTCAGATTATATAAAAATACGAAAAACCGGGTCATTAGATTTTAGATATCCTTTAGCCCAATAAATAAGTAGCACACTCTAACTCAATAAAAATTAAGATATCAAATAAGTTACATAAAATCACAAAATATAAACTATAAATTTATTTTTATCAAATTAAATTTTATATTTACAGTCGGATATTCAAGCTAAAAATTTAAATAGTCAAAAATTTAAGTATCTGAATATATTATATTTTTTTTTCGAATCAAACAATAGTTGCTATTTTAGTTATTCAAAATTTTAAATATATAAATTTTTAGATTAGATCAGATTTGTATTCGAATTTATATATTTGTAGATGTTAGAGGGGAGAGGGAGAGAGGGGGACCCGCCAATATCATCTAAAAAGTATAAACGATAAAACATTAAAACTACCCGCTCCCATCATCTTGTTTTCTCCCCAGTTGCCACCCTGGCTTTCCCCTTCTGATTTCTTCACCGTCTACCGTCTCAACCGGTAATCCCTCGTGCATTACTCATCCTCCTTTCTGTGGTGCAACAACTAAAAAGCAAGAAATATATAACCGGAATACCTAATATTAGTAGTAGTAGTAGTAGCAGTAGTATAGATGTTTGGCTTTTGCAATTTTTTTATTTTTATTTTTTCTTCGTATTCATTTCTCTCTTTTATATTTCTTCTCACAGTAAAATTCTGACTTTTTAAAGATTATTTCTTGGTTTGGGTTTTCTTCTGTCTTTTTTATTTTCTCGAGAGAAAATCCTGTCCTTCATCGATGAGGATCAGGAAAAGAAAAGTTCCGCTGCCTTTCTCTTCCATTTCTCCACTACCTCTTTCATCAGATCCCAACTTCAACCGCCCTCCGGTGGCGGTGGTGCAACAACAACAACAACCTTCTCCTCCGTCACCCACTACTCCATACAGCTTTGATCCTCTCCACCACCCTTCCAAATTTGGTCATCCAAATCACCCGATCGGCCAACCACTACCAACCCAAGCCCTTGATTCATCCGCTTTCCATGGAAAGATCAAACAAGATTACTTGGTTAGTTCAACGATTCAATTCCAAGACACTTCAATTCTTTTTTATCATGGTTCTAAGGTTGTTTACAGGAGTGCATTAGTGCTGAATATAATAAAGAAAAGCATATCTTGTTTGAAATTCTTTTTTTACTTTCATTGATTTGCACCCATGGAAGTTGCATCAAGCACTAAGTAGGATCCTTTCTTTCTCTTTTACTTTCTGTAGGTCTTGACGCATGGAGAAGAGGAAGAGGAAGAGAACAAGAATGGTACCGGGTAAGAAATGAAGGGCTAAAAATGTTAAAAAAACAAACCCAAATTGCTTCATTTGTTTGTTTCATGAAATCTTGTAGTAGAAATGTTAAAGAAAATACAAGGATCTTGTTCTTCACTTTATTTCAGCTTTGGCTAGCCACCATACCTTCCTATCTAATCTAATATTTTCTTTTTTATCTTCAAATTTGGTTAACTAATACTATATATGTGCATGCGGTGCACGTTAGAACGAGGTGCTGGTCCCCGTCATCAGCTATCAACCAATAGCATTTACATTTTGATCTATATCTTGCACTTATTTCGTCATTCATTTTTAAAAAATAACAATTTATGTTTGTGGTTGTGGATCTTCTGGGTTTGGTTTACTTTCTAGTAAAAGAAGTGTTTTGGGTGAAGAACTAGGAACTGGATTCCTTTCACAGTTGAATTCTTCCCAGCACCACGGTAAAGATCTTTTTTTTACACAAAAATGAAGAATGCAGTCATTAGTGTTTGATCGATCTAATATTTGAAGGTGGTTGCACTTTGTTGTTGTTGTTTTGATGAAGCATTTCCATTGAAGAACAGAAGAGGGGGCATGGACGACGATGACGATGATAGTAAGAGGCCAATGAATAGCAATGCCGGTAAAATGAAGACTAAGCTGAACAAGAAAGAGAGCAATGATGATGATAATGGTAGTGGTGCAAACAGGAGAGGCCGAGGTGGTGGTGCAGTCATGGAAGGGTCGAGGTGCAGTCGAGTTAATGGAAGGGGATGGAGATGTAGCCAACAAACACTCGTCGGTTACTCCCTTTGCGAGCATCATTTAGGTAAAGGTAGGCTTAGGAGCATTACCACCGTTCAAACCCGAGGCAAGGAGGAGCGACATGCTGATCGTCGAGCTCAAATATTGTCGAATTCTTTGTCTTCGTCTTCTTTAGGAAAGCAGACAAAGGGTGAGACTGGAGAGGATGGGAAGCCATTGATGATGAGAATGAAGCTTGGTATGGTTAAAGCTCGATCGATAAGCAGTTTGCTGGGCCAAGGCCAATGAAGACCACTATCATTTGAGTGTGTAAAGGTTTGAGGTTACTTTAATTATATTGTTAAATACAAGGTGCAATTGTTCCAACTTCGGTTTTGTTTGAGATTCTTGATGAACTGATGCTTGATCAAGTGTTTTTTTTTAATCTTTTGCCTTTTATTATTGTTTTTTTATTTAGTGCTTTTTTAAAACAAATTCATGATTAAATTATTTAAAAATAATCTTTTTAAATATTAAAATTGTAAAAGTTATAACATAGATTTCAGCTTTTATCATATAATGAGTATCGCTTAATTAATTATTATTAGGTGTTGTTTATTTTTGTATAAACCGTTAACTCTATTAAATGTAGAAAATATTTTAAATTACGTTAAAGATTTACAATTATAATCGTAAATTAAGTACATAATTATGATAATTTCATAGGATCATTGAAATAAAAATTAGTCACTTAAGATAACATAAGCATCATATAAGGAAAATTAAATTCTTAACCAATAAACTCGAACAAATATAAATACAAACATGCCTGATCGCATTGGCAAACGAACTACGAAATGAATCAAGTTTCTAAAAGCCCACCAATAAATTGTAAATTAGACTCAAGCGACGTGAAAAGATCTACGAATACAAATCGAGTATCCAAATCTTATTTAATGGTCCAAAGTAGGAAAGATCAACAAGATAACATATACACACCATAATGATCAGCCGTGATGATGTCAAATCAACCCTAGAAAAAGATACATGAAAACAACGACCGAATGACTGAAAAGCACACCAAAAAATAGAAAGAAAAAAAAATAGTTATACATACAAATGAAAACGTGTCATACATGCATACTTATTGAAAAAAACAAAAGAAAATAAAGATGTGATATAAAAAAATAAAAGGACAATAAAGAATACCAACCGTCGATAACCAACATTAAAATTAGTGTTGACGTCGATCAACAAATATGAAAAAACAGGATGAAAAACACTCCAATGAGAGAAAACTAGATTTTAGATAAAAAAAAAAATTTAACCAACATTAAAGTTAGTGTCGTCGTCGATCAACCAGTGTGATTGTATTTGTTTTAAAGAAAATGTTATCAATGCAACATATTTATGCTTGAAATATGGTATACTGTATTAGTGTCTACGAAAGGAAAACTTTGGAATATTAAACATAATGGTCTCCATTGCAAGGCTTAGAAAGAAATGATGTAATTCTTTGTTCAAATTAGAAATTTTGAGATGGATTCATAATAAGAACTAGTGAGGGTAGATCGCAATACTATTGCTAAGTTGAGTTAAATTTTTACATGTTGGAGCAGGGATTTACTTAAAATTTTATGTTAAGAGGGACGGATTTATAAAATTACATAAAACTTTAAGAAAAAAAGATTTTATAAAATTTTAGGGACAAAAAAAAATTATCAATAGAAAATATAAATAGAATATCTAAAATATATAAATTTAAAATTTTCAGGAGGAGAAATGCTCCTACCCGCCCCCCTTCCATCCATTAGCATGTTCTAATAGATTTTTAAGCACAAATGTTTGAGAATTTAATTTCTCAAATGAGTATTTTTGTTGTTGAAATCTGAAAGGATTTATGCCTAACATTTAATCTCTCAAATGTTTTATTAGCATATTAAAGTGAAATATGGAGGTTATGCTCTTACAATTTGTTTTGGTGGTTTAATGTGCAATATCAAAAATTTCAAATGGTTAAAAAAAATTTAAAATCAATATTATCATTTCTAACTACTCTAAATTAATCAAAGAAAATTAATTTATTAACTTTAATGTAGAGTAAATGAACAAAACTTAATAGTGACAAATAATAATTACATGATAATAAATTATAATAAAGTGTGTCTGATCTTTTATTTATCCAAAAAAAAAAAACCAATGTCGCTCTCGATATTTTTTCACTCAATGTGGTTCTCAAACTTATAAAAAGAATCCAATGTGGTCCTTTGACCAACAATTTATGTCGTTGACCATTACGATACTGACGTGACACTTTACGGTGTTGATATAACGATCCACAGTGTTGATGTGGCACTCTACAATGGCTAGTGATGTGGCTAATGACGTAGTAGATGAGCTAATTTTTTTTTTAAGTTCGAGGGTCAAATTGTTTTTTAAAACATTTAAGGGCTTATTAGATTTTTAAAAAATAAAAAAATATTTTAAATTCAAAATATAATAATAATATAAAAATATTCAAAAATTAAAATTAAATTACTAAAAATAAAAGTATATATTATTTTGTTTTAAAAATAAAAAAATAAAAATCATATAATAATTCGTCTCTAAATTCTAATATGAATTTTATTTTTATTTTGTTGAGACATATTTTTGTTTCTTTATTTTTTTTTAAAAATGAAAATAATGAAGTGACAAAAAAAACCTCAAACACTTGAAGTTGATATCTACCTTGACTTTATGGAGTTGTATCTAATAGAAATTGGAGGAAAAATTAGTGAAATAGAATTTAAAAAGATGCTTAAAATTTAAGATAATTAGATATAAATATATAAAATAAAATTTGTGCAGCAAGAAAAAAATTAAATTTTTATAAATCAAATTCAAGTTAAATTCGAGGTATATATATATATATATATATATATAATTTTTTAATAATTTAATTTTTATTTTTGGTTTTATTATATTTTTATTTTGTTTAATATTTTTATATTTTGAATTTAAAATATTTTATTTTTTTTACAAAATCAGATAAGCCCTTAAACTTAAAAAAACAAATTAACCCTCAAACTTGAATAAATCTATCTGTCACATCATCAGTCACGTCACCAACCACTGTAGACTACTATATCAACATTGTAGATCGTTATATCACTACCATGAAGTGTCACGTTATCATCGTAATGGTCAACGACGGAAACCATTAGTCAAAGGGCTACAATGAGTTCTTTTAAGTTCAAGGGTCACACTGAGTGCAAAAAAATATCGAGGACCATATTGATTTTTTTGGGCAAATACAGAGACCTTAGATTCCCTTTTGCCTATAGTTAAAATTTTAAATCAATAAAATTGATAAGATAACGAAAATTTATAGGCAACAATTTTTATGGGTCCTTGATTATTTTTTACATAATTTTATTAATAGTTTAGTTTTTTCATGGACAACGTGGATCAACCTTATAGATGTAATTATTTCAAATTATGAATATAAAAAAATGTACTTTTTGATTAACAAGATATAAAATACTTCATAGATCTTATGGCTGATAAGCAAATTTAACTTATAAATATATATTTAACATCCACGACATCAGTAGAATGAGTGAAGATTAGAAGTTATATGTATCCATAACTAGAAACAATCATTTTAGATATAAAGGTCAATTTAAAAATAAATAAATTCAGGACTAAATTGGGGCAGGGCACATTTTGAGAAAGAGATAGTCGAATTTAGGGTAGAGTCAAATTTAGGATACAAAATGTCTAACCCAACTTGATTTAGGATAATTAATATATATTATTTAGTATATTTCAATATTTATATTGTTTAGGATTTCGTTCATTCCATATCCTAAGCCGCTCATTTCCCTTTTTTCTCTCAAAACTAAAGAAGAAAATTTTATGTTTTTTTGTGTTTCGATGGGTTTATGAAATCCCAACATTGAGCCACCATCACAATTACTATAGCCCCAACGTCGTCGTAGACATATATTTAGAGTTTTAACATGTTAGGGAATTTTCTCTCATTTGCTTCTATTCTCAGTCACTCTTTCGTGTTCTATTTAGTTTCATTCTTACCTATGATTTCTATTTTTTTGGATTTAGGGTATAAATAAATCAAACTTGAATGAATAAGGTTGTTTTTGTGTTTATTTGGTTTTTTTAAAAGTGTTCATATTCGATTCGTGTTCGTTTAAATTTTTAATATCATGTTTGTATTCATTTATTTATTTTTGAAAGTGTTCGTGTTCATTTATTTATTATTCAAAAACATGTTCATTTAACGATTACAAACATATTCACTTATATGTTCATGAACATATTTGTTTACACTGGCGACTGCATGTATATTTCAGGTTAGGCACTTGCCCTCTTGAAATCCGAATTTCTTTATGTTTGTTGTTCATTTTACTGATGTGTCCACCTTGAAATTCTATTGGTGCTTATACCATACCAAAAAATTTTACTATTAGTAAATATGTGTGTCGTAACCGTCTTTCGGTTGGGTCCCGAATTGGGTTTCGACTTGAAAAATGTGGATTGGAGTCACCACCGATCATTTATTTTAAAACAAATAGGTAGATCGGATACCTTATTTCTTATCTGATCTTCATCTTACCAGTGATATGTCGGATTCGGGAGTCGGTTACAGTCAAGAAAGGGTTAGTACCCTTGAACTGCCCTTTCGGTACTACGCAATTTCCAGTTGTTTTTATTAAGAAAATTGTAATTTTAGATTAAAAGGTACAATTTGACCTTGATTACTTACAGTTGATTGATTGAGAATGTACCCTTAATAAAGTCAAAAAGCCATGTTAGAAAAAGGGATAATAAAAATAAATAAAATAGATAAGAAAATAAAGGATATGACACGAAGGTAAAAGGATGAAGAGATTATAAAGGAATAGAAATAAAAATAAAAACAAAGAAATTAAATAAATAAGTGAATGAAATAGTAATAACATATGTACAGAATAAAAAACAAAAAATAAAATAAACATCAAAGAAACGAAAATAAAGTAAAAATAAAGAAAACAATTAAAATATATACATAATAGTAATAGGTCATATAAATAAACTATTAAAAGTATATATAGTAATAGGTCATATAAATAAACTATTAAAAGTATATATATATATATATATATATATATATATATACAATAATAAAATACAGAAAGTAAAACCAAATAAATATAATAATAATAGACTTAGAATATATATATAATAACAAAATATGATAGCAAAGAAGGAAAAAAAATTAATGATAAACTGAAAATCATTTAAAAATACACATACATATATATAATGATAATAATATAAATAATAAAAAGGAATAAGA